AATGGTTCTCTAGTATCGATAAATTGACCTTTTTATGTAACTAAATAATTCTATTAGAAGCATTGGCATTGCGCGGGCCGGGTTCAATTCCCGCGTAATTACTACAATTGCGTCCTTTGCATGCGTTTCCTTATTAAATTGGATCGAATTACGTTTGATACCTACATGTATCATGCACAGCTGTGTATTTATGGTACAGTGGCAGAAGTGGCAGATTCAAAATATACATAAATAGCCGTTTGCCCGCGACTTCGCCAGCGTACATTAAAACTTATGTCACTTGTGTATGATGTCGCTCACAGTAAGTAAAAGAATTTTTAAAATCGGTTCAGACCTGCGATTCGAATTCATCGGAATTCATTTCAAAAAGTAGTATCTGCTTTAACCTTGGATTGGTTATAATAACGTTTCATGGCAAAAGTAAAGAGAGTTTCGAAATGACATAGGAATAGAATATCTCAGACACGTATATTCAATCAATTTGTCTTGTATTTTTATACAAAAAAATTGAATCAATAGAATTTCCACACTAAATTATGTGACTTCGGACACATGAATGAATTTGAATTCGGATCTGGATTTTTACAGAATCGCAGGGCAGAAGTTTCTAAGCCTTTTCGATGAAACCAACAAAAGAACAATCACATCTTTCTTCTTTGTAAAATTAATGTAGATACTATTCAACTATTAAGTAATAAATATGTAGGTATTACATATGTATAAAGCTGTTATTAGTTTAATCACTAATTATGTACTAATAAATGTCGTGTGCGTGTATGAAATATTAGCTGTTTTCCCGCGTAAATTATAATCTATATCCCCCACGTATGATATAACTTCCCGTATGTTAAAAAAATTTCATGATCGGATCAGTATTTCTATAGATTACCCTCTACTAACAAACAAACAAAGTTAGAAACTTTACTTCTTTAAAATATTAGTATCGATGATTTTGTACTCTAGTTTACAGAGTGGATTTGTGCCATCCCGCCATTAACCGACTATGGTGAGGCGTCGGGTGACGGCCGTGCCCTGGTTTAAATGAGCCACTATTTTTATTTACGCGCCTTATCATTGTCACATTAAGTACGTCATATATTTTTAGGATGGGCAAGAGTAAATTAGCCGATTGTTCCATTACATATGTAGGTCACGCACGGTAAAAATAACAGGGGGCGTAAAGGTAACATACTTTAACCATTTATCTCCCGACTGGCAATGGGATAGTCAAGGAGTTATTGTGCGAGTAATTTCAATTAATTACTCACGAACTATTACGATGGAAGCAGAGAGAAGCGGAGAGACAAGCCAGACCAGAAAAGACATAGATAGAAGAAACAATAAGACAAAGAGTGTAAAATAGGGGAGAGAGTCAATACGCAGAAAAAAGTAAAACTAAGGATGGGTTCTAGTTATTAGTTACTAGTCCTATTCGTCTGTCCTTATAATTTCCATAAAAATGGATCCAGTTTTTGCTTCACGATTAATACAATATCTATATATTTATATTTCAGGATAACTTCACGCTGTATCCCTTGCGTAGTAGACAGAAAAGAAGAGTGTCACAAGGCATGGTCCTTACACGCATCTTTTACCTTCTCCAATTTTATTACTCTTTTCATACACGCTCGCCGATTTTTCTGACTCCGACATTATCTTTTAACAGCATAGGATCGATTTGATCTTGAAAGGTGTGTTTTAATCCTTCCATTTTCGCGCTGTATATTAATTTTGTCAACTTGTGTTAAACATTTTTTCTGAATTTATACTACATGTGTGAATCGACAGAGAATGCTTCCGTTGATTTTTGTACCGAACACAAGTCACTTCTTTATAATGATAACTAGTCATAATATTATACTATGACGATGTTATTAGAACAGGTTATTCAACTCCTTCTATTTTGGGAGCCATAATCCTGCAAGACTTAACGTATTAAAACATACCATTTATAGATAATCCAAACACACCATAGTTGTAGACACACCACAATTTCAAAGAAAGATATCTTCGTAATAGTCTTTCTATATCTATTGACGAATGTAATTCAGCGTTGGAAGGGTTAAAATAAATTATTACATTAGAATAGCAGTTATATTTTATGAATCTTCTAACCTTATTATAACTGTATCTACCAACAAGTAGTTTGCAAATAAACTTTTGACTTTGACTTATTTAATATTGCACAACAAAAAAAAAATACAAACTGCGGACTTATGTCTATTATGTATCACTATTAGTCAACCAGAGAGTTGTGGGCAGAGAATTTATAAGAGCGGTAATACGCTCATTTAAGGGATAGGAAATAAGTTGTGGTGGCTCATTGTCATTTCTGGACAAGTCTGTCGATATACTGCGTTAGGCGATCCCTCGAATGCGGGCACTAAGGCATGCGTTACAGAAATCTCTCGCACTTTACACTAGTCAATGGGGTCTGTGCGCTCATCTTTATTGGTCAATAAAACATTAACCGAGAAATGACAATATTTAAATTCTCATGTTCAGTGTCTATGAGTAAATTAATAAGATTAATAAGATTGCATATGTTAAACAATGTAAGACCTATTTAAAATATGAGGTGAATAGTAAACGACGACCTCCGTAGCCGAGTGGTTTGCACGCCGGTTTCAAGGTGTCGCCATCTCTGAGGTCCCGGGTTCGATCCCCGGTCGGGTTAATGTAGAAAATTAACTTTTCTATATTGTGTCGGGTCTGGGTGTTGTGTTAGTTTCGTTGTCTCAGATACTCCATAATACGGGGGCTTTGACTACTCATTTTGGAATCTGAACAATGAATGTGATATTGTGTAATTTTTTGTGTAATATAATATTTATTATATTTGATAAAGTTTGGACTCGCGATGCTATACTGAAAAATATTATTAATGAAAAATGCCTTAAAGTGACAGGTGCTTGAATGATTCATCGGTCTTGTTAGCTCCTGGGTAGTTCGGGTTGGTAGGACCAGTCACCCGGATTGCGAAAGGTCACGGGTTCGAGTCCCATCTAAGAGTGGCAGGGACAAAGAGGATTTTTTAAGCATTTTTGATTAAGTATATTTTTCAGATAATATTTCTTATAAATTAAAGATTTACGATGGATATAATATTTTCTATTATACACAAGTAAAAATACTTGAAGAGATGATAGTTTTAAAAAAGAAATTATTTAAAATTCACAATATTACTTTCATAATAATTTATATTTTTAATTTTTACTAGGTGTTTGTATAGACACCTTGTTATATTACTATTAGTAGATCAGATATGAACCAAGTTCACTGGACGCAGCCAGCTTTTATACTCTTTTGGAGTTTAGGTTTAGTTGCTCAAAGTCCATGGTGTCACTATGGCCGTAGTCAATGATATCGGAATATTAGGAATGTTGTAATATTTGTTATGTCGGAATTCTTCCCTTGAATACATCAATTATGTTGCATACTTGAGAGATTTTGCCGAAAGTAGTATATTTTAATCTATCTCGATAGATATATAACGATAAAATTAAACAAATTTTAATATGATCCATTTTATAGGTGTAAAAGCTTAGTAATGGCGATTACGGATTTTATTAAATAGTTAGAACTAGTACGAATTCAGTAGTAAATAAATAATTATAGAAAACATTATTTTTTATGTAAAGTAGATACAATATGACTTCTTATTTTTCTAATACAGTGGACCCCCGGTGATTCGACAAACGTTTTGCAGGGCAGTGTCGGACCATCGAATTTGTCGGATTATAGAGTACTGTCTAAGACCCCCTATAGTTTGGATTTTTTTACAAAGGAGTACCTTGTAATTCGACAATTACAGATCAGGGATAAGAATCTATATGTTGTAAGTACTCTGAAGTACAAATGTATGTCGAATACTATATTCGACATACATTTGTACTTCAGAGTACAATTAAACAACAGTGAAAATTAAACAACATAATATAGAGTTTATGTATTAATATAATGTAAAAGTGATGTCATTAATGCTAGAAATACAAAAAATTAATAACTAACTTGCGTAGGTACTAAAATAATTTGAAATTATGAATAAAAATTGAATCAATCAATTTATAAAGCATGAAAATATTCATTAATTTTTTTTAATGTCATAAATTGTAGATGGGCCTACGCCGTATTCACTTGCCAAACTACTGAAAGATTCATTTCGATTTAAGCAATCTAAAATATCAGATTTCTCTTTGTAAAAGTTTTGTGCTTTCGCTTGTGAGCTTGTGACGACATTTCTAGGTATGTAATACACAATTAATAAACAGTAGGTAAACAATGAACGCAAGCACGCTGGGCCGCGGACCACTATCACCTGTAGTCAAATTCAAAGCAATCAAAACAAAACCTACACGTCGAGCGCAATAATGGTGGCACGCACAAGTTGTGACTCGTTCAATCATGCATTACATATCTACCAAAAAATATTCGGACACATCGGATTACAAGGGGCGCCGGATTAGACAGGGGCTGGATAACCGAGGGTCCACTGTAAGAAGAAAACAAGGTAAACTATTTAAGAAACTATACCTCTACAATGGCTATCATATAAAGCTTAATTTGTTTAATATGGACAGACATTGAGCACGCCAGACATTTGCCGGAACCGACACCGTTTTCTTTATTCACACTGTCCGGCAAATAGCAACTGTAGATAACGTACAGACAAACAGAAAACTGGGCACTGTCCGGTTCGTGTCTCTTGGCATCAGAGTGGTAAGTGTAAGATTTACAATCGCGCTCGCAATCGGCGGTGAATGTAAACGTCAAAAATCTTACTTTAACCGCTCTGTGCATGTCTTTACGCGTCTGTACGTGTTTGTTTGCGTCTAAAATACGTTATAGAAATTGTAGATAAAAACGAACTTATAAAAACTGTTAAAAGGAAATACAAAGAACAGATGTTAATTAATGGGAAAGACGAAGTATTTTTATAATTACGATACTACTAGTAACAAATTTCTGTAAGTAATAACTAGTTTTTTTTTTCATTACAGAATTGGCTAATCTACCCTACAACACGAAACCGTGACGAATTGAACTACAAGCAAACAAATCCGTATATTATACGAGGCCATAGACCGCAGACGATCGAGACGGGACACTCCCGAACTGAGTAACGACAACGGTGACGTCACAACATGGCGTCCACCGACACATCGACCGCCAGCAGCCAAATATCCGTCGCTCCAGAGGATCACAAGCGAACCGTCGACGAAGCCTTCCTCAACAGATTGAAGAGTCTCGTCGAGAGGTTGAGGCTTGAGAATGCGACCCTGAAGAAGTCGCTCGATGTCGAGCGGAGCGAGATCAGAGCGATGAAGGCGCAGCATGAAAGTGCCTTAAGAAATATCAAGACTGAACAAAAAAAGAGAGAAGAGATCTTAGAAAAACAGTTGAGGACAGTGAACAAATCAGAGAGACTAGTAGAAGATAGTCAATTAGGAAACAATAGAGTGGTAGAACTAAAGAAACTGTCAACAGAAATTCAGTCTTTGAAATCGGCAAATAAGGGTCTTCAAGAAAAATTAAAGGTAATCAGTTATATTTAACTTTTACGCATTTACTCTGCGAAAATCTTAATGCAAATTATATGAGATTATGTACTTTCTCACACCAACGATATATTAAAATTTCAAGTAAAAATGACACAGTACTCAAAGCTAGTCCTATTGACCACACGATGAAAACAGATCTAAGGTTAGCTAAACTCAATGGTTTTAAATATTTATCGTCGGTATTAAATATATTCCGTTTGATATTGTACTCTTCAACCTTCAACCAGAAGTTCATAATTCCGCCTTGATTTAAATGATGTAGAGTGTTTTCTATTTTTCGAAGGTATGGACTGCCATATCGAAGCCCATAGACAATAAAACATGGTATGGGACACTCTTGCATCACTTGAAATATAGGTCGATCATGCGCCATGTTTTTTACTTTTTGGGTTACAGATATCGCATCACTTTTCCTTAACAGAAGTGCGTACTGGAAGTTTCTTTCCTCGATAATCTCTACAATTTTTTTGTCGTTAATAGTCTCTATGCGAGTCTTTAGCTTTTCCCGTGCACTATGTGTTAAACTGGCGTTAAATATTTCAATGTAGCGGTTATGTACCCCAAGAGTTAAGTTACTGTCGAATAGTTCATCTAAAGTGTTGACTTTACTTCTGTATCGAGGGTATGTTATTGCTGAAGTTATGATACCCTAAAACAGAAAAATGTATTCAATAATAAAAGAGGGAAATAGAGTTTCAATTTAGGTAATGAAAGCATAAACCTTTTTAGCTTTTAATATGCTAAAATTTTAAAAAGTATGTATGTAATCTCAATGCTCACCTCAATAAGGCAGTTGACAATAAGCGAATAAACTACAATAGTCAGCACCATTATTCTGAAAACCGGCCTTTTTTTATGCAAATTTACAGTTTGTTTTGTGAAACACTTCACGAGATCCATTATAATATGTCCTGTTGGTGTTTGTTTCTTCAAATTCCAAATGTTAATTTCAATCTTCCGTACAATTACAGTTACAGAGGTCATAAAAATGACGTTGAACATAAATATAATGAACGTGGTGACTGATATCAGCTGCAGAATAGTGGTAAAAGTAGATTGTTTGTCGGCACTTTTCAACATGAAGCATAACTCGTCTCGCATAAGAGGGTACGTAGTATCAATATATCCGTAATAAGAGTTTTTGAGTATACGAGAACTCAATTCCAAATCGGTGTATCCGTCCATCAAATCAGCAGTTACTCCCGTAGCAGTGCCATTATCTAACAAGTCTCCTACAGTATTCCCGTCTCTTGGTGCTACTGGTTTACAAGAGGCGTTAAGTCTATGCATAATGTTGCTCGCGAGTCTCGACTTGCAATTAATTGGCTCATCCTCATCATAGTTTGATATTTTTTTGTAAACACTCAATCTGAGTACGTGACCAAGAAGATTATCATATTGATGATATAGTAAATATGTAATATTTTTAACATCAGTGATGTCCATAAGTTCATCTTTAAAAGAGTTGTAAGTGAACGTTTTTACTGTTTGCTCCCATTTCAAAATTACTACTGAGTTAGTGATGCTCTTACTCCAGAGAAACTGAAAATGGCATTTCAATGTGTAGAAAAAGTAACTGTCCATTTCTATTGGTTCGTTAATTATAAATATGACAGCACTTCTAGGTTTGAACACGCCTGTTCTAATCAGGGCGTCTACAACGTATTCGCTGATATCTAAACTTATATCATTTCCTGTGATGACATAGGCGGTTTGTCCATGTTTATTTATTTTTGGTTTAACTCTAGTCCTATTCGTATCAGGACAGCCATTCAGGAGTATGACAGGATATCCATAGCCAGTAGTCTCGGTGTATTTAAGGATTCTATTTTCAAAGTATGTGAACTCGCAGAATGTTATGGTAAAGAACCATCGGCGGAAAGCATTATAAATTTTACTCACGACTTCGTAAGCGTAGTCAGCTTTGTAATACGTAGCATTTTGGTAAGCAATAACTTCTTGAAATAGAACACTCGTATTTAGAGAGCCAGTCGCGAAATGAAGCAGAATAAGAAGCCCTAAAAGTCTTAACATTTTAATACTTCGAAGACGAACGCAGTGGACGTAAGTATTTAGAGTACTGCAAGGTTAGAAGATTTTTTGCTGTAATGTTTTGTTTAGTTTCATTAAGCGCAATGACAGTAACGAGTGACGTGTCCGCTAAGGGCGATGAATGAAAGCACGTCAATTAGGGTGTAAGGAAAATATTTGCTTGTCATAGCTGTTATCTTGGAAATGATGTAGTGACACTGATATTCCAAAACTTGGGTAGGTTGATATTACTTGGAAATAGACTCACTTTTACCGACCTCAAATAAGGAGGAGGTTCCCAATTCGAATGAATGTTCTGTATGTACCACTGTATCTTGGTCAGTGGACCTTTTGTTTGAAAGGATATATTTTCGACACGCTATTAAAATTTTATCCAGAATCGGATTATTAGATTTGTTATTTTCGACACGGTGCTATTAAAATTTTATCGAGATAGGATTATTAGTTTTGTTTGTATATATAAAAAAAAACTGAAAAAACTATATCGTCTGAATTTTCTTAATGATACCGTTACCACTAAAAATATTTAGTGGTAACGGCAAGAATAGTGATTTAAAAGAATAATGAATTTAGTAGTACATTTAAAGTTGGCTTTAGATAAATTATGCTTAATTAAATATTAAGAATTATTTATTTACGATTTTATAATAATTCTTGAAATCTACAAAAACGGTTAATAACTTCAATAAATTTCGTTTGAAATTAAGCATTTAAAAGCATGACCTAGTCTCATCATCAGCCCTTTTATGTCCCCATTGCAGGGGCTTAGGCCTTCCTTATGGATGGTTAAGGAGGATGGGTCATGACCCTCCACGCTGGCCCAATGCCTATTGGAGGGTATTAACGACTGCAAATGCAGCCGGGGCCAACGGCTTAACGTGCCTTCACAAGCACGAAGTAGCTCGAGATAATAATTTTTTGGTCACCCATCCCGTGACCGACCCTTGCGAAAGTTGCTTAACGACAACGATCGTGGGCCGCGGCGCTTATCCACTACGCCACCGAGCTACTCTAGACCACATATCCTGAATTCAAATAAAAGTTTTTGTTAAACGTCTTTTTTCGACTTCAATTTGTAGCCAATTTTGTTAAATTTCAGAAAAAGTTATAACTCGACGACATCCTAATAACTGTTGCCATTGTCGTGTAATTGGTATTGATGATCAACAAATTTGCAAAGATTTTGAGTGTTTTGTAAATTTTATTAATTATTATAAATAAATATTATTCCACATAGGTTGTTGCTTCAATTCAATATCTAAAACAACGAAAAATTCACAACACCTGAAATAATATTAAAAAAAAAAACATTTTCGGTACTTACTCGATCAGAAATCGAACCTAAGACCTCAGAGATGGCAAAACCTTGATACGTATGCGAATCATCGTCGATGGATTAAGGTGGCCGTAATATGAAGTGCTGTGAAATAAAAATCTGAGATAAATCTATGCTAATATTATAAAGAGGTAAAGTTTCAAACTTTATCTTCGGAATAGGATGTTACGGTGGTGACATCATAGGCTTTAATTTAAGTCGCGAGTAAACAGCTACTCTTTAATATTGAGATAATGAGGAAGTATTTAAGAAAAAAAATTAGTTCCCGAAATCAAACTAGATGTCGCTACGGTACTTTCTTGATTTCTCCATGACAACCCTTCCGGTTTTCTTTCATGTAAATGTAAATTAATTTTCAAAACTCAATAAACAACTCATATTCTATTTGTACTTTTTGTATTTGTGTTGTTATCTAAGTTTCGAACTATGCAAATTTCAGTTTATTAATATGTTAGTTAAAAGGAACGGAAATGACTATCTTTGGTCCATTAGTTTCTTGCAAAAATCAACTGTTGCTTGCGTCGCCATCTAGTGAGGTGCTTTTTTAGTGCTTTCTTTTTTTTTCTTAAGCAATAAGAATGCCTTCAGGCGATCTCGCATAAAAATTGTATACTTACTATTATAGTGGTTTTCAAGGACTGTTTACGTTTCCAGGTCGCTCAGGCGGCGGAATGTGCGCGGGCTGCAGAACTGCGCGCGCAGGTTGCCAAGCACTCTGCGCTCGAGCAAGCGGCCAGGAGGGACGCGCGTGCACAGTGCCATAAGCTGGTTAGCATCATATTCATTAACATCACCATAGTCCATCGCTAGACAGAGGCGCATTTGCAAATTTGTCCACACCAGTCCACGTAGTCATGAAAATCTTCAATAAAAATGTTGGTTTTGAAAATAATGGGCCGCTTAAAAGAAAAAGTAAAATTTAATGGTAGATGTTGCCACCTCTGATCCTTTGTGACTTCTTGGAGCCGGTTTGTCAATCCGTCCATGATGTCTTAGTCATGAGGGCATACAGTCGTAGGAACTGGTACTCTTGCTCGGACACGTCTTTTAAGGTTATCCCAAATGTGCTCCATTGAGTTAAGATTGGGACTGCGTGCGGGCCATGGTAAAACTTAAATCGCGACCTCATTAAGGATGATCAACGAATCTTGCGATATGGAAACGTGCGTTGCAATGCAATGCATTAATCTGAAGTTGTCACCAATGAACGGAGCGAAAGGTATGACACGGTCTTCGTATCTTTGAGCCTTTACACTTCCTCTATCGAACACAAAAAGATCGTTACAATCCTCATAAAAGATACCTCCCCATACCATTATGGACCCTCTCTAGTAACCTACTGTTTCAGTTATAGCGCATGGAGCAAACCTCTTATTTTGACGCCTGTAAACACGCTGACATCCATCTGGACCACTAAAGGCTATTCTGCTCTCATCCGAGAACATTCAACAACCTTTGTTTTTCCATTCGTCTCTGTAGACGACTGGATTGTTCCAGTCAGCATATTCTTGCGCAAAACTCTAACGGTGTTGTGGGAACAGTTGCAAAGCGCGAGCTGGACAAAAAACCCTCAAATTACTTTCTGCTAGTCTTTTTCTAATTGTAATTCATCGACACTGACATTTCTCACCTCAAAAAGACGCGTAGTTCGAGGAACACAGAGTGTTCGAGCGATGCGACGCTGACTATAACCCGCATCAGCTAAAGGCACTGCCCTAGGTAGATCAGTTGCAGCGATTGGCATTTTTTGCAATCACAAACAATGGGCAAATACTATAATTTCTAATGTCAACACTATGATAGAAAATTACAGGAAATGTTAACTTGGTAACACAACAGCAACAATGTAAAACAACGACTTAATTCCGTTAAAGTCTTCGGTGACACAAATTAAGGAAAGAAAATAATAGTATAAGTGTTTTATTTATTGCTAGAGTACCCAATGAACAAAAAACAAAACAGTTGATAAGCCATAGTTGACGAAACCAAACAGGGTGATTAATGACACAAGGGGGCGGTTAATTGTGCCTGTTAGTCTATACATACAAATCACAAATTAGTATAACGTTAAACAAATAGATTTAATTATTTTTAAACGTAATGAAATAATATAATTCTTACTGCAAACTTCTTTTGGTGTATATCACAGTGTAGAATAGACGAGGTTACATTGCATTTGGCTTAGTAAATATCTGAATAATAACTGATTATTCTATGAAAATACTTGGATATGTATATGTCGCATCATCATTACGAAGATCGTTTGATTTAGTTTCTTTTATTTTAATTGCTAGTTACTCCGATTAACTAATTACTCCGATTGTAAAGAGAGCGTGATCATCGATACTCTTAATTTTATTAGAATAGTGACACTGACTTTGACAGTTCGTTTATAAAAACCAAGTTGCCGCCATTTTGGCACACATTCTGTTTCCAAACGCCGAGGCGTAAAGACATCAGATGACATCACGCTCATCTCGTTATATTTTCGTAAGAAATGTTATAAAATGGAACAAAACCACGTTGGTATACCACGCCTGCAGTGTTATTTTAAAGATAGTCCTCCGATATGGACGATCTATTTGGGCTTCGTAATAGCCCCTTCGGACTACCCGCCGTTATCAGAAGTGGGATGTACCGACTAAGTGGACACACAGATGTCATGGATATGGAGAATCTTGTTGCGGTAACAAAATCAAAACTTTTTCGTCCTCATCCACGTAGTCACATGTGCCGTCGTCGAATCACATTTCCATCTGCCCGAACTCGATCCTGGCAATATTTCTGCCTGTCGATACAAGAAGAAACACATGAAGCCTTCGTGGGAAGAACCAAGCGTTCCTAATATGAAGAACAATTGCGGAACAGATGGTCACTACTCTCAAGATACCTGAAGCCGAAGAAGATGCATCGTGATGTTTCGTCTGCTGGCATTGCTAGTGAGCGACATCTGCTTCATTGCTACCCTGCTAGTATTTGCAGTATTTTGGTGAGTCGTTTCATTTGTTATGATACTGGAATCGAGTACTCCCTTATAAAGTAATTAATATCGTGAAGAATTCATAGCAATCGAATTAGTAACACTCTTAAAATCACTAGTTAAGTGAAAATAAATTGAAAGAGTGTGATTGCATGCTGCTTAAGTGGGGCAATCGAGGTTCTCAAACCAGTTTGTTGTTTATGCATACTTTCATTGTAAATAAGATTTGATGATAGAATTTATTAACTCTTACGTTTTAATTACTAAAGAAACTTAAAGTATAAACGGTCTCTAATCATGAAAGTTTCGATTGGTTTCAAAATCTTGCTTTAGTTGAAGTCAGGACCTGACCGAGAAAAGAATCTATCGCACTGCATATCATTGGATGCCTAGTAAATGGTTAGTGGTACTATTAGGTACTCAATATTTCTCAATGTTTGATAGAGATAATATTTCATGAAAGTTCAATTCAACAATCAAAAATTTCTTATGAAATGACTGTATAAATCGCATCCTATGTACTTCCCAACTTTAAGTCGTTTCACAGAGCCTCTGGGGACCACGGTCATAAATAAGCCCAGACCCCAGCTTCGTCCTTCCCGTTTCCTTTTGAGCCTCTGGGGACCACGGTCTCATGTAAGACCCAGACCCCAGCATCGACCTTTCCCCCATCTCCTTTTGAGCTACTGTGGATCATGGCGTACAGGACCGCTCATGACCACAGCATCACACTTGCTACGAGTACAATATCAATGCAATTATGCGTGGAGCATTTGCATTGCCAAATTTACTTGATAAAACAGCTCATTTTCCTAAACAATTTCCTAAGTTTTCCTAAACCTTTCCTAAACAACTTAACTACCGTTTTTATAACAATTGTGATAAAATACCCGTTGGTAATAAATTTGATGTTTAAGAAATGATGCTCGAAATCTAGTTCAAATCAAAATTCCCAAATGACTAGGTTTACAGATACCTAGCTCAGAAAAGCTCTTCTATTTTGTTACAGAAACAGAATTGGCGCAGAGCACGCACCGTCTCCCAGATGCCGTGTCGCATCATCATTACGAGATCGTTTGATTTAGTTTCTTTTATTTTAATTGCTAGTTACTCGATTACTTAATTACTCGATTGTAAAGAGAGCGTGATCATCGATATTCTTAATTTTATTAGAATAGTGACACTGACTTTGACAGTTCGTTTATAAAAACCAAGTTGCCGCCATTTTGGCACACATTCTGTTTCCAACGCCGAGGCGTAAAGACATCAGATGACATCACGCTCATCTCGTTATATTTTCGTAAGAAATGTTATAAATGGAACAAAACTACGTTGGTATACAAAGCCTGCAGTGTTATTTAAAGATAGTCCTCCGATATGGACGATCTATTTGGGCTTCGTATAGCCCCTTCGGACTACCCGCCGTTATATATGAAGCTTTTTAATTTCTATTCCTATTTCCTCTAAATGTATCTAATAACTAAAGAGTTTTTTTATTTTATGTATAAATAAAAACAAATCTCGCAAAAATACTATTCTGTGTTTGTCGTGTTTCAATTCTCTTTGGTAGTTGTAGGCCCAAAATATATATAAATAAAAATTACCGACGGCATTATAGAAATCCTCAAATTGTTTTTGCTGGTCACAATTGTGTCTGATGTCATTCGTTATTAAATAATAAGCCATTTGTGCTATTATTAACGCGGTGTGCTGTAGTCATCTGACTTCAGATGTTTCGCTAACAAGGTAAAGAGTCAAGATGTAACATTTTAGGTACTTTTATAAACTTAAGATTCATAGGCTTAACATTAATAAGGTTACATCACCAAAAACTATGCTTCTTAACAGTGGCGTAATTACAGGGTGGCAAGTCGGCAAAATGCTTACTCCTGACATTTATTATATGCATCGGATATTCTTTTTTTTGTTTACTAATTAGTAAAAAAAAAGAATATCCGATGCATTTGCCACGGGCCCCAAACTGTGTAGTTACGCCACTGCTTCTTAATGATTGTTTAAATTTCAATAAACAAAATCGTCAAACGCTGTATCAAGCGTTATAAAAAATATTATATTAAAGAAAATAAGTAGTAAATATAGACAAAATATGGACAATAACCAATAGGTAATTTATTTGTTCGAAATTAAATCTACATAAAATAAAGTAAATAAAAGCAATGACTTATAAGTCGACGACATTAATGCTCCTTGTAATAATAAGCTTTAGATATTTATAAATATTTTATTTTGTTTATTGGAAACAACCAAAAGGCTAGACTTGGAGTTTGATATCTAATTTTAATATCGGCTTTTCTGTAAATCCGTTTTAAATGTTGCCTTTAGTATAGTCATTAGTTTTATTGTTTCTGTTTTCTTCTATGTATTATGTTACTGAATAAATTATTTTCTATGTCTTCCCACGTTGGGTGCCAGTTAAATTGCCATGTGTACAGTTGCCAATTGAATTAGCGTCATATTAATGAACTCCTTATATTAAAGCGAAAAAAAAACTAATAATTTTACGCATATTAGTGGCAGTGATCGGTCACTCACTAAGGAGAATAATTAAACTGGCATGTTAGACTTAAGACTGTTTAAGTACTCTGTGGTAAGAAGTCTAAAGTTTGTCTCATGAATAAGTCCTTAAGGCGCGGCGTCATTGTCGTTTGACGAAGCATTGCTAACCCCTATTAATTTTATGTAGTTAGAGATCCATCTAAACAGGGCACTGAGAACAAAATTTCGTGTCATTTGTTCTATAAAAAGAGTTCTGGTAAATTCTGTAAAAAATACTAGTAGGTATCGATTCCTCATAACAGATACGGTATCGACTAAAAGTATCGATACCTAAGTAGTATCGTTACATCCCTAAGCCTCGACACATCCGTGATACTCGCTGACGTGGACTTTGCCCTTACCGTTGCAGCCTTGCTCCTGTGTTTTCGTGCTCGTCACCATTTCCCAAAAATGCCAATTAATATGGCTATTCCGATTATCCCGTAAATTAATGTACAATGATGAATATTATTATAGGACAAATCGTAAGAGTATGCCCGAGAATTCATTTTCTTTCAATAATGTTATCTCTGTTCTATCTGTTTTGATAATAATAACTTGCACATAACTATCAGTTCAGTCTCTGTTACTCTTCCAAGGGCTCACTTCCCGGTTGGCAAGTTGTCTTCGTGAATGACTACAATATTATTTAATTGAACGTTTTGTTGTGGTTTTATCAATGTCCTCCGGGCTTGTAACTGTGTTACATATTCCGACTTCCATGTGTTCCATATTTCTTTGAATATTTTATTTATCATGGACCATCTACTCCTTGCGTCTTCGGCTGTTTCGATGATAGTATCTTTCCGTATTTCTCTTAAGAAATGGGCTGGCGTTAAAACGTTTAAGTTTTCTGTATTTTTTGATAGATCGCATAGATGTCTAGAGTTTAAACACGCTTCCACTTGCGTCCGAAGGGTGGAAAATTTCGTTAAAAGTGAGCTTCTGTTCTGTCAGCATGCTTTTCAGGTGATGTTTAACATACCGTTACGTTACCATTTGCCACTCGTACTTGGCCATGATGGCGCATTGAAGTGCCATTCTTTTCCCATATTTGCTACTTCTAAAATATAAAAATAAATAAAAAGCTGTTATCAAATATTTTTAATATTTGTTGGTATTCTTAATTGAAAATATGAGAAAACGCTGAAGATCCTCGTGTTGTAGCCATTCTTCACAGGGCGGCAATAAATGTCGAGATGGTGAGGTCAAATACCATCTCCAAATTCACAGCTTTTGTTACCATGCAGATGAAAACAGCTACTTAATCATGGGTATACAAAATGCAAATATTACAAGTTTGGTTATGCACCGAACAGGGGTGCAAATGCCTAATTCTCTAGCGTTGATTCTACCTATAGGATACAACATCTTATCGATGTTATAACGATATTTCTGAAATTTAGAAAAATTCTTATCGCCTTACATGCAATTCCAACTTTCGCTCAGGTTGACTGGTTGATTGGCCCACCATTTGTGTTTTATTGTAAGTAATAAAGAGTAAATAAATAAATACATTTCTTTTCTTGTTACTTCGTTGACATGACTTATGGAAGATATAATCATCATCCTTTATCGTTCGCTCGTCGTTACTAAAGTACATATCAAAGCAGTAAAATGAAATTAAATATCGCAATAACATCGCTAAGATGTCGTATCCTACGGCTAGAATCATAGCTAGAGAGTTAGGCGATCGCACTGCAGGTTGTCATATTAATTTACTGATTTGCATGAAACTTAAAAGAACATATGCTAAAATTGCATTCAGTTTATTGTTTATGTGGTTGTTATCCGATTCTTTCATTAGACTAATATCGATACCTACTATAGGTATATCGTCGCATCACTATAAGCTTAATTATATCCGCACAGCTGGAGCATAGGGGGCCAATTCTACTAAATAAATTTTGTTTGTAGAATAGGAAAACTATTAATAACTGTAGTTTCGTTCGGTTTCGATCCGTTTTCGATTCGATTTAAACAAAATTTATTAAGTAGAATTGGCCCCCAGGCGTACTCTATGGATGGAATAGAAGTGAATAGGAAGAGCGAGTTATGAGCCACTAAGCGGACTGTTTGAGTATAATTACTAATTACTTCTTTCTAAATAGTGGTGTAATGATTCATAAACGCCTTAGCAATTATAGTCGGCAATATAGTATGAGATTTTTGTTGCAGCTAAATTAATAATGAGATTATCTTCGGCTTTTAGATGTGATTTTGTTGCTATACTGTAATACACTTCAATTATCTGAATCAAAGATAACTCATTATTTCATATTTAATTTTAAAACTATTGTTTTAAGGCGGAAATTTTTGAACTCTGTAGATAATATTTTTTATATACATCATTAAAATATAGCACGTTCATAATCTCGATTTGAATAACAATAAAAATGTTTTCTTTTCAGCTGGAGGAAATAAAATCGAAGGAGCGGGTGATAATACAGTTGAGGAGGGAGGTAGCGCGAACGTCGACTCTCCAAAATGATCAGGTAAGTCTCGAAGTGTTTGTTTTTTTGCTATGTCTATAAATAATTTAAGTCATTATTTAAAGACGACATCCGTAGCCGTAGTGGTTCGCATGCTGGTTTCAAGGTAAACTTTTCTATATTGTCTCGGATCTGGATGTTGTGGTACCTTCGTTGTCTCAGATACTCTATTATACGGGGGCTTTAGTTACTCTTGGAATCTGACCAATGTATGTGATGTTGTCTAATATTTTTTTTTTTTAAATTACAGCATAGTAGTCATAATATTGATATAAATTTTAGAAAAGAAGTTTTCCACTCGAATGAGGTATTTATTAATAACTTTTTATAAGTATAATGCCTTATTATTCTAAATAAATTGTGCTTGTATTTTGAAATTCGAAACAAAACATACACACAGAAATGGACAAAAGAAAAAAGTATTATATTTCCAAATAATCACACTGAAATAGCTTACTAATGTTATGTCTTTATTAGGTTTCACTAATCACCATATTACAAATTACAATATAATTGTTCAAACGCCATCTTATCTTTTTTCTGACCATAGACCATTATTCCCATAGAGAGTCACAGACTCAATATACAACAAAAAGGAACAGTAATATCATTTTCAATTTTTAAATAACGGTTCGTCTTGTTTATAAAAAAATCACAATTATGCGTCTTCATAATTTAACTTCTTTGAGTTTCGAACGATGAATTACAAACGTTAAGCCACGATATAAGATATTTTTAAATTTACTGCTGCTTAATTATATTCCGTTTTATAAATTTTATAGAGTGTTATTTTGTTATTTTTGATATGGTTTATTCTTCGTTTATAATTCACAAAAGTGATACTCTAAAGAATAAATATGTTTTAATTTAAATCTTTTTTTTTAAATTCTTTTAATTTTTAAGGGGTTTTTATTCTTTAGAACATGACAACCCCATCATACCATACTTAAATCTAAATTCATTTGATAACAATATTTCACTAGGTAATTTTTTACAGCATTAATGTAATTTACATAGTTCTTGTGCAATGATAGACTTTGGTTCTGATAAAATACTTTGAATTAATCCTATATCTAAAACATTTAAGTTAAATTCTTTCATAAATGACTCCCTCTCATTTTTGTTTCTAATACACTCTAATACACTACACTAAATCTTCATATTAATAGACGCGTATTGTTAAAATATAAATTCCATGACAAAGTTTTATCTTTAACCTCCACTATAAAAGTAGTTATATATTAAGTTAATTTAGGCAGAACAGTATACTTATTGGGAGAATGCAATCATCCAGGTATGCCCGGAGTGTGTGAATCTGCCCCAGGGCGGAGAGAATACCCGCTGCGTTAGGGATAACTGAGGGTCGTCGATAATTGTGGCAATTCTGTTGTATCGTTTTAAGGTCTTGAAAAATTATACAATTATTACAAACAGATTATTCCATCGTTTTGTGTTGATATATTAAATTAATAATATTTAATGTATCAAAGATACATTAAGTTAATAATATAGCATTACTATATTATGTTATAATTTAAAAACTATTTTCCATGGCAAAAACATATGATTTTATATTCGTCAATAATATAAAATTACGTAATAGTTATAATAAACATTTATTTATAATAAAATATGTTATTATAAAAAGATGACTTACTTTAGTACTTTACTTTAGCTTAAATAACTATCCAACTAAAATTAGTCAACTACTGTACAACTTAAGGGGGAATGGTATTTTTTTACATATTCTCATTTTGCCGTTAACTTTTCTGTCATTGTCAATTTGCTTCAGATGGGAAATGGTTTAAACCAAGTACTTACTTTGGTCCTCGTTTTATAATAAGAAGGTTAATTATTATTGAACACATGCGTTATTATACATACAGTCAATTAGTAACTTTGTCATAATGATACATTATGTTTGCTCCAATATGACCTTATGTTACACGACGAAGGTGTGGTACTAGTACTGGTAGAACGAACGGTAGTTACAAAGGGAAAATGCTGACAATATCCGAAAGTTATTACAGCGGTCATCGGATAATTTATGCACTGATATTTGGGCACAGGTGGGAACAGGAGCGGACTAAGGAGTCGGACACTGACCAAATTGTTGGACACTATATGTTGAGACCACGGCGTCTGTCGCTTAACTTTATTGATATCAATGTTAGGTTGAAGTCTTTTAATTGGCTCGCTCTTTTTTATGAGAACGAGATATTAAGAGCGTAGTTCGATTCTGTAGGCTAATTGTCTAATTTCAAAATCTGTTGCAATGCCTTTCAAAGGCATAGCGATTTATGGAACTTTTTAAGTCACAATCGCTTTTGGAACAAAAGATAATTTTATAACTGAATTGAAATAATCATGAAACATAATTAAAACTTAATTGTCGAAAGATTGAAGTTAGCATACAATTCTAACGCTTGACATTTCTCAGTAATTTTCAAAGGTATTCTTCAGCGATCAGAAGCGATTATAACCGATTAAGATTTGCCTTAGAAAATTCCATATAAATGTTAAATAAACGATGCAATTCATTTAATATTTTCAAAAAAACGACATACGAAAGATGTCAAATAGTTGCGGTTTACGCCGCTGTTCGTGAATTCATGCGTCAAATTAAAAGGAATTGCGATAGATTTTAAAATTAGACAATTAGCTCCCTGATAGTCATAAATATATCAGAAATTAATTTATAAAAAATAGCAAAATAAACACACAAATAGGAAAAATTAGATTTAAAAAATTTATGCTTGGTAGATTTTATAAAAAGTATTAAATTGATCGGGTAAAATATTGATTGAAATACTGAGCCATTCAGCACAAAACACTTTCCGTTTTACATTCAAGTTTAAATAAAATGTGCAAAACAGCAAATTCACTCCTGAAAGTACTAATCAGCATATTATGCTGAGTTGTTTTCGATTTCGTTATGTAATCGCTAATTATTTATGAAATAAATAAAACATTATTAATTTTTATTATAACGTATGTTTTAATACTTTTTAAGTACGTCACTGGGTGAGAGCGACACGTAATCAGGGCGAGAGAATTGGTATCAGGTAGGTAGGGTAGGTAGAAGTAGGATACTGGTCTGCGATTATGCGTTGTGTTCTGGATTTTAATAATAATGTTAATAAAAAAAATATTTAATAATAATTACAGCTTTTACAAAATTGGATTTCATAAGAATTTAAGTTTACCTAAATTAAACCAATTGTATTTTCTTAAAACGGCTAGACTCCGATTATTATTATTTACAATTTAATATCAACAAAATATTACCACTCATACATATGTACATACACTCAACATACATAACCTTACACTTCCGTGATCGTGGGCTCCTCGAACAGTTTCTTTTATCTATATATATAAAGTTCTTGCGTTGCTGAGTGACTGACTGACAGACAACGTACAGCCGAAGCTACTGAACGTAGAAAGTTGAAATTTGGAATGAAGATTCCTTAGGGAGTGTAGAGGAGCACTAAGATAAGATATTTGAAAACTCCACCCCGAAGGGGCTAAATTAGGAGATAAACGTTTGTAGTAAACCTAATTATTGTAGTAAACTGTATCCTCATTTGCTGTTTACAGCTTTCATGGGAGATAATTAAATAAGTATTTTTACATAACAATAATAAAAAAAAGTGGTTTCCAAAAATAATATAAGCAGATAGTGCTGAGACAGAAAAAAAATAGCTTTCAACTACAAATCTTTTGACAATTGAAAAAAGAGCTTAACTGATTCGATAGTTAAATATTATTGTATTTAAAAAATTTGGCATTTAAAATGATATACTGATAAATATCTTTAAAGAAAAATGCTTTAAAATTCTCGGGTAGGTCAATAGTTAGATCAGTCGCTAGGTTAGCGTAAGGTTATGGGTACGTGTCCCATCTCGGGGTAGCTGATGGGGCTAAAATTCTCGGGTAGCTCAATGTAGAGCCTTCGCTAGAATTGCCAAAGGTTATGGGCACGTCTTCCATCTCGGAGCAGCTGGGTCTGGTGGTTTTTATAAGCATTTTTCATTAAAAGTAAATATTTATTTAAAAATAACTCAAGAAAGTCCGTGATCATCAGACGGACGCGTGATGGACACGAAAAATGAAATGTTGCGTACGAATAATTAGTTAATTATCATAGGTCTTTTAGGTTCACGTGTGAACCATTATTGAGAGCTGCTTGAATGATTTTAATAGCCGAAATCAAACGAAGAGTTCGAACTGTGGATTAAACAGTTCCGGACCGTAAGCTAGAAACCGCACAGCAACGGTACCGCGATGAAACTGCAAACGTGAAATCTTATAACACTACGCTTACGATATGTTCCCGTTCATTGAGATTGCACGCAATTGAACGCCGTTTCTTTCTAATCAACATTACAAAGCGGACAATCAATAGTTGTAACATACAAGCTTTTTTATATGTTACAATGTCCTATTTGTATTATACGAGCGTAGTAAGTTATACAAATACTCTATTTTTTATTAAGTAACAGATAGGTTACTCTAGTTTAGGTCTATTCTTCTAATTATTTATCTTATAATTGTGCAGCAGACCACGTTAGGTCTGTCTCCACAGTACCTTAAGGTTGACTGGCAGAAAATGCCGCAGGTATTAAGTCCTCCTATGTGCATTGTGCATAACGAATAAATAAAATGAACCACCAATTGAATTATTAATGGAGAATTGATTATTCAGAATATCACTAGTTATCAAAAAAAAAGTTTTTATATCGCAAATAATCTCATATGATTCCTGTGCTCTAAGAGTAATGAGCTTAATATTTACGTATATAAAGAAATGCACAAGCTATGTACACACGAACAATAGTACATATTGAAACAAAGTGGGAAATACTTTGGTAAAAAATATTTAGCTGCAATCAATGGACACACGTGGATACTGTCAGTTTCTAATCTTATTCGTCCATGCAAATAACTATGTTCTCAAGAGTATCACAAAGATGAGTCGAATTTTCATGAATTGATTTGTA